TGGAGCTCCTCCGTGCTGCCAAGCCCTTGCAGAAGCAGCTCACGGACCTTCTCCGTGGCATCGTGCACCTAGGCGCCAAAATCGCCAAGGGTACCGGACACCCTCGTCTCCCCTTCAGATGATGACATTCGGGCCGTCTTTGCGGAGGACCCGGACACGGTCTTTGTCACCATCACCAAGGCGGCGGCTGCTGCAGTGAACGAGCTGGCAGTGTCCATTTTCTTTCCGGACAAGGCGCCCTTGGCGGTCCTGCCCGGCGATCCCGATGCCAACCCCGCCAACTTCCATGCGGGGGACCCTGCCCCCATCCCGATCTTTGTCGGCGCCCGCATCCAGTTGACCAGAAACATCCATAAGGAGATGGATTACGTCAACGGCATGGGCGCCACGATCCTCGGGCTGCAGCAGGGCGGCGTGCGGGTGAGGACAGACACTGGCTTCATTGTGGTCTACCCCTGGACGGATGCTGAGTCCCGAAGTACTTACCACCCAATGCGATTGGGGTATGCAAATACCCTGACTAAGCTGCAAGGAGCGACTTTGGACAGCATGACCCTGTACCTGGATGTACCAAACATCTCGGCTGCGGGGTACGTGGCACTCTCCCGTGTGCGCTACGACAAGCACTGGCGCTTTGTCGGATACCTCACTCGGCACCATTGCACCCCCGCCTGAGCACCGTGAGCACAGCTGCACGGCCAGCGTGTGACGGGTTTTTGCAGCTTGTTCTCAACAGCATGTGCTTTGCGGTACTAAAAAGGCAGTAAGGCGCGTGCATCGGCCTGCAGTCACCACTCATCACCGGAGTTGCAGAGGACTTGTCTCCTGGTAGTGGGAGACGTGACACCACAGCAGGCCGAGCGAATCTACGATCGGTATCCTGCTGCCGTGGCTCAAACCTCCATGTGGGTCAAGACCTCCACGCCTGAGCCATAGTAGGATTCCTGTTTTCGCCTCGCCACGCTTCTTCCGCAAGAGCAGGACCTGTGCCTGCAAGTTTATGTTTGCTGTGCCCTGGCGTCTTGCATGCCTTGTGCCAGGACCTCGGAGGTCTGACGGAACCTTGCGTCGGCAGTGTTGCTGCAGTGCGCTCTGCTGCGCTTCGGTACCTTGGCGGCAGGCAGGTTATCATGTTCAGATCAGCAAACGAGTTCTGGAAGAGTGGGAATTTAGGGCGTCAGCCCGAAACCCGAAAAGGAATAAAGTTGGGCGGATGCCTGCGTAAGCAGTGGGTGGGAAGAATAAACCAGCACACCAAGTCTTGGTTTGTTGGGCACGAGAGAAGGGCCTTTGCGAGAAATGCCGCCCCCCCACACCCCTGGGTGTGTCGGGGCGCCATTTCTACATGTTACCTCCAGCCGCCGCGCAGCAAGACGCCCTAAACCCTAAACCCTAAACCCTAATCCTAAGCCCCGAGCCAAAAGCACACAAAGCCCCAAAGGATTGGACCCGCCTGGAGGGCACCACTGGCTCCGGTAGCTCCTCCACCCTGTCAAGAGACTTTATAGGGTTTAGGGTTTAGGGTGAACTTCCGTGGGTTCAGTATATGGGGGTTTCCCAAAATTTAGGGGTGCCATATTGACATATTTTAGTCACGTATTCTGTTGGCTACAGGCGTGCATCCCCAAATGGGGCATACTATGCTGCGAAGGGCAGTGTTTTTGGGCTGATCTTGTCGGATGCCTTTTGAGGCGAGCATGGTAGGGGTGGGATAGGAAATAGCCAGTCAATTCTTGAGGCTCTTGCTCACACATCACACGCTTCCATCTTCAAACTTGGCCATTGATCGTCAGATACCGATGAGACCTTGTGAGATTTTTAACATGTCGAGCAAGCGAATTACGTAGCAGGAAACAAACTTCTTGCGGAAGGAATGATGCTTTACGTCGACTTCGCAATTAACATCCCGGCAGAACCTCACAAACCATTTGTCTGGCACCACAGAAACAAATGTGACGTATAAACTCCCCAAATACAATCACCAACGTTGCCCTAAACCATAAACCCTACATCAACAAACTGCGCACACTAAGCCCCTGAAACCTACATCCTAGATCATTTTCCCCCCATGTACCTTTTGAGGGCCTTAATATTGGGATGCCTATTATAACCCCCATTAAGGGTATAACCCCCCATTAAGGGGAAGGGGTTTATTCATTGAGGGTCTACATGACCTATAATATACTATATTATACGATGATATACCACAATATACCGTAATATACCATAATATACCATAATATACTAAAATATACTGAAATATACTATAGTATACTATAGTATACTATAATATACCATAATATACCCTAATATACCATAATATACCATAATATACCATAATATACCATAATATATGGGTTAGTGTGCAGTAACTGACATTAAGCCTGCTCTGTGGAGGCGCCTCTTGGCGCGCAGGCGCGGGGATGCAGGGCTCTCAATGCGACGTAATTCGAGAAGCAGCTGACGGGAGTAGATTCCTCAGGGTTTAGGGTTTAGGGGTTTAGGGGTTTAGGGGTTTAGGGGTTTAGGGGTTTAGGGGTTTAGGGCTTAGGGTACTCCGGGATTGGGACGTGCAGGATACTGAGGCTCTGGAACTTGCAGCATTTTTCGGGGTTGAGGGTTTAGGGATTTGGAGCTCCGGCTCTCAGAGTTTTGGGAATTCAGGCACTTGGGGGTTTGAGGTTTGGTGTGCAGATAAGGCAACAGTCTATATGTATGTGTGTGTGTGTACTTATTGCTTGTTTTTTATGTGTCCATCTATTCATTGGTTTCTGTGGACACACGCACAACCCCCATGATCCACAGACACCCTAAACACACTGAAACTACCGCTAAAACAAACAGGTTGTATGATCGGATCTTGAACACAAAACTGTTTCGCATTTAGCAAATTTCATCTATATCCTATACCGTTGTACTTGGACAACACTAGAATAATACTGAACATAGGAAGCACAGAAAGCCAACAAACAAACAAACAAACAAACAAACAAACAAACAAACAAACAAACAAACACACTTTTTCGTGGAACTATGGTGGCTGGCCAAGGAAGTGTCGTTCTTGGATTCCCATCTTCAATAAAGAACCTATGGAAGCACAGGAAGCCAAAACAAACGCCAAAACCAAAAAAAAAGTTTGGGAACTATGGCGGCTGGTTTCCTCGCCAAAACAAAGAGCAGTTCTTCGAAAACATGTTTGTCCTAGGAAAATGGTTGTGGAGGGGCCTTGGCTCAGAAAAACAACTTTCCGCAGGAAAAGTTTGTTCTTGGAAAAATTGACCTGGATATCAACGAAAACCAACTTTTGCTAGGAAAACGCTGGATTCAAAGTAAAGGCATCATTTTCGTAGGAATCCAAACAAACGACTTGCCGCCACTAATAACTCACAAACACATATTGTCTCCTGTTGTTGGATGAGAGTGAGCCCCAACCCTACCAGACCCCTGACACAACTTCCGAGAAAAAAAACAAAAAAACTGGACCCTACTCACAACCTTCAATACTCCTTCACATGGGGGCTTCCCAAAAATTAGGAATGCCTTTCTGGAGGTTCCCAGCAGAAGCAGTATAGTGCGTTCGGATCTGGGTACCACGAAATCCTAAACCCCAATGAGTGTGGAAAATTACTACGTGAGCTGTAGTCTAAACTCCTCGTATCCCCTTTAATAACCCTGATAGTATCCCCTGTCTAGCCCTTTTATAGGACTCTTTATTTCTGCCGGACCGCTCGGCTTCCGCCGCGCGCGGGCGCGGGGGCGCGCTGCCACAGCCACTGGGCCTTTCCGTTTCGGGCTATACAGGGTCCTGGCGGTTTAGGGATTGGGGTTTAGGGTCTGTGGGGCCTCATAAGGTTCAAGGGCACCAGAGTTTAGTAATGGGGATGAGAGGGTAGTCATGGGGAATCAAATTGAAAAGACTGAAAATGAAATGATAACTGAGCCTAAGCCCTCAACCCTTTATGCAATGTCAGATGTGCAACCTGAGTGGGTTTTTTGCGGTTGAACACAGGAAGATTATATTTACAGAAAATGTTCTACCCTCAAAGGAGGAGATAATCTTACTCTATATTGGGTACCATAAGTTCACGGACTTCGAGAGCCTGGCGTCGAAGCACATTGGCTGTCGAGTGAAATTTACCGCTTCTCTATAATTGCAGCTATGGCCATCTCCATGCACTTAAGACGTGTTTGCCATGCTGGAAGCATGTTGGCATCGATGCTCATGCCACCCGGACAAAGTCTGAGAATTTTGTTCGGGGCTTCAGCGAAGTTGATCGTCTTTTGGCATGAGGAACAGACGGGCAGGTCTTGTGCCCAGTCAACGTTAACAAAGCGGAAGAGTTTTTTTATCAGGCAGTCCCTGAATTTCAGCCTGCAAGTGAACTGCCTGTTGGCAGTGAGCAGGGGAAAAATGAATGATTTAATGGCAGCAGAATCCTCATTCGTGCAAAACTCCAGCGTTCTTTCAGCAACTCTGCCGACAGTGGTGCTTTGAGCTTGCGAAATGGCTGTCTCTTCCCATCCGAGCCATCTGCGCTTTCGACGCTTGTCCATATCCCAATTTACCAAAAGAGCATACTTCTGAGAAGGGAAGGGCAATCATCAATTTGAAGAAATTCAGGTGTGCTCAAAAGGTGGTGCTAGAATGTCATGGAACGTTCTGCAGTGATGACAGTTTGGCGTCTCACCACATTTCAGCAAACTGTTTCAAGGTTTCACTGAAGTGGAAGGCCATGACAACAAGTCAAGGCTCGCACGGGAGGCACAATGCAGCTCATTTCCCAGATCAAGTACAATTTCTTCAAAGTCCTGTTCTTGAGGCCATGCATATACGGAATCTCCACAAAAGGGCACCAAGTTGAGGACATCTGCCTTTTGCATGAAGACAAGAAAAACCTGCCCAATTGTGGAAGCGTACTTTGCTTCCAAAATTCTGCAGGCAATAATTCTTCCCAAACGAGAAAAGAATAGCGTAATCTGCACTATTCCCTCCCCATTTACGAAGAGCAGTGAGGTTTTTAGGGGAGTTCAATTGCAAATCAAGTAGGTCTTCTGGGGAACCTGACAATGACCATAGTATCCCTAAATAACATACTACTCACCTAAGTTCTACGGTTGCAGAGCTGCATGCCGTAGTGCCCCTCCTACCCTCTCCTACTCTGCTCCCCAGAACAGTTTGGGATTTCAGATTTAAACCCTAAACCCTATAAGGGTTTGGGACAAGGCCACAATAAACGAGAAACAGTGGCCCTGTTTGGAGGAGGATGGGAAGGGGAAGGGGGTGTAGAAATAGCTTGGGATTGAGGGTTCTAGAGCTAGGTTTTGAAGGACCAGCTCCCGTTTACTCTGCAAATTCACTTGGATCCAGGGGCAGGTGTTTGTCTAAAACTGAAGTTTGGCACTCTTTCAGGATTTTCAAACTTTTTAGATCATGATTCGAGCACCAAAGTGCTCAAAGTGTGCCTCTTAGCGATGAGAGCTTTTTGCTCTGTTGGGTCAGCATAATGTGCTTCATGTTTTGCTTTACAAGCGCAGAGCCGCCTAACAGCACAGAACCCTATATAAACCCTAGATAACCCCTACATAGACCCTATAAACCCTATTTTTAACCGCTACTGTGCCCGGCCGAAAGTTCGACCCACTCTCAAACTAAGGCAAACTTGACCCACTCAGTGAGAGCTGCAGCCCCCTTTTCCCCGCAGACTCCTAACACTGGGAATTGGGGCCTCCACCGGAACTAAACAGTATTAGATTTTAAAACGGGTATTAATTACTCCGCTAGCAGGGCCAGTGAAAACGGCATGTGGAACCCCTCCGCT